TATGTTATATGAATGTACCAATATGCCCAAATGAATCTTATTATTTTGTCATGGTAATACACACCGATGAAAAAGTGTGTTTATACATATTTGTGGTTTTCCAGACATTATTCTTTTTTTTTTGGTACCGGGGATCAAACTCAGGTCCTTCCGCTTTCAAGGCAGGCCCTGGAACCACTGAGCTAAATCCCCAGCCTGCCAGATATTATTCTTCTTGCTATTGTTTTCTAGCTTTTTTTCATTATGATTAGAAACTATTTTGCTCCCTATTATTTTTTCCTTTGTACTATTATTGCTAAGCAATCTATTTCTCCTTTCAATTTTGTTAATGTTTTCTTCATATATTAGGAGCTCTAATATTTGTTGCATAAATGTTTATAATTTTTATATCTTCTTAAATTGACCCTTTTATCATTACATGATGTCTTTCTTTGTTTATAGTTTTTTACTTAATAGTAATATAGCTACCTTTGCTGTCTTTTGGGTACAGTTTGCATGGAACATCTTTTCAATCCCTTCACTTTCAACCTATGTTTGTTTTTATATAGTGTAAAGTGAACCTCTTATAGAGAGCATATAGTTGAATCCTACTTTAAAAAATGCATATGATAACTATGTCTTTTAAAAATAGACTTTTTTTTGGGTACCGGGGATTGAACTCGGGTCCTTGCTCTTGTGAGGCAGGTGGCAGAACCACTGAACTAAATCCTAGGACCTTAAAAATAGACTTTTTAAGAGAAGTTTAGATTTATAGAAAAATTGACTAGAAGGTACAGAAATTTTCTCTCTCTGTATCTTTTTTTACTAATCTCTTGTCCTCACCCATGCATAGTTCTCCTTATTATCTATATTATCTTTTTTTTTTTTTTTTGAGACAGGGTCTCGCTGTGTAGTTTAGGCTGGCCTTGAACTCATGGCAATGCTGCTGCCTCAGCCTCTTGAGTGCTGGGACTACAGGCATGCACCACCATGTCTGGCCTTTATTTATTTATTTGAGGTACCAGGGATCGAACTCAGGACCTTGTGCTTGGCAAGGCAAGCATGGCACCACTGAGCTAAATTCCCAACCCTTGGCCTTTAATTTTTTAAAAAATTTTTGAGACAGGGTTTGGCTGTCACTAAGTGGTCCAGGCTGGCTTAAACTTGTTATCCTCCTGCTTCAGATTCCCAGAGTGGTGGAATTATAGGGGTGCACCTGCATGCCCAACTAGTACATTTCTTTTAACCAATGGATTTACCTGTCTTTATTACCTACATTCTATTGTTTACATTAGGGTTCACTTTTTTTTTTCGGGTGCTGGGGATTGAACTCGGGTCCTTGTGCTTGCAGGGCAGGCAGCAGAACCACTGAGCTAAATCCCTGGCCCTAGGGTTCACTTTTGATGTACATTCTATGGGTTTTGACAATCATAAAATGACACATACCCACCATTATAGTATTATACAACTGATTTTCACTGTCCTAAAAATCCTATGTGCTCAGTCTATACATCCTTTTCTCCCTTCTTATACTCAATCTACATTAAACAACAGTAGAGAGAGGGCCGGGGATTTAGCTCAGTGGATCTGCCACCTGCCTCACAAGCGCAAGGTCCTGATTTGATCCCCAGTACCAAAAAAAAAATGTAGAGAGAAAGTTGAGAAATCAAATGGAACAAAATGCTAAACTTAGGTGAATCTAGCTCATGAAAAAGCATTGTTCTTTATTAGTTTTGTAACTTTTCTGTAAATTTGAATTTTTCCAAATAAAGTATTTTTTAAATGTCCCATGATTTCATCCCCTGAATTTTATCTCCCTTTTGAGATTCTCTGACTTCAGTCTCATGGTTGCCCCCACTTACATGCTACTCCTACTTAAAATGTTATATCAGCTACTGACTGGGACAAGTCAAGAACAGTGGAATTACACACTTATACAACGGAGGTTCTAACCTTTGTGTTTACAGCATATGAAAAAGGAACACAAAGAAAATGAAATAAAAGTATTTAAACATAAAAAAATAAAAATTTATACAAAATTCCAGGAATCACATTTACAACACCATTTCAGATAGTAAGGATCAGATTGTAAATTTTGGAGTTGGTAACATCTGAGTTCTAATCTTTGCTCTGTAATATATGCATTGTATGACTTAGAGCAGGACATTTTACCTTTTTCTTCTTTAATTTCCTTTCTTTAAGGGGATGTAAATCATTGTAGGTGGGAAAAACAAATATCCTATCATATGAAGATTTTTGAAAAGGATAAGGAGGGAAAACTAGGTATCAAGTAGTTTCCTACCTGAAGATTTTAGTATTTCCTAAATCTGAAAAGTTTTGCAGTTTTCAAGAATTTCTCATTGCAATGGGGTAGAAAAAAGACCCGGAGAAAGAAAGGGACTGCACTTTTTAAGGTCCTTCTGGTGCATGCTTTATATGTGTACTCAGTTAGTACTTAGGACCTTATGATATTATAGACAGCTAAGTTAGGTAGAAATTAACAGGCAGCCAGAGAGAGAGAGAGAGAGAGAGAGAGAGAGAGAGAGAGAGAGAGCATGCCCTTGAAGGAGTCAGTGTAGAAGATAAGACACATCAAAATTGTGGCAGGAGAAGAACTGGAAAAGACCCAGGTCTGCAAACCTTCCTAGAGATAGACAGCAGCTTGAGATCATACTGTAATCAGCACCAGCTGTTCCAGGGCATAGGTGGGGACCAGAACACCCTGACCCAAACACCTATCCCTTCCACAAAATGCCTTTGCTCTTCTTACATTAGATGTAGAAATAAGCTGAAGTTAGTGGTGCCCATCATGTACCCTCTCTCTGTGCCTCGCTTTCCTATTGGATCAATATTAGCTAAGCTACTATTCTTTAACATTATGGATTGGCCTCAGCTTGGTCCAGAGTGGTCTGAGACATGATCATTTTCATGTATAAAAACCTCCAGACATGAAATCAACCAATAACAAATGCTGGAGGGGCTGTGGAGAAAAAGGAACCCTTCTCCACTGCTGGTGGGAGTGTAGACTGGTGCAACCACTGTGGAAATCAGTGTGGAGATCCCTCAAAAAACTAAAACTAGAGATTCCTTTTGACCCAGCTATTCCTCATCTTGGTAACTTCCTGAAAGAATTAGAAACATCATACCAAAGTGATATATGTGCACCTGTTTATAGCAGCACAGTTTGTAATAGCTAAATTGTGGAAACAGCCCAAATGCCTATCAACTGACGAGTGGATAAAGATGTAGGGTTTTTTTCTACAATAGAGTACTACTCTGCCACAAAGAAGAATGAGCTTCAGACATTTATAGCTAAATGGAGGGACTTTGAGACCATACTCTTAAGTGAAATAAATTTGACACATACGTTTAAATACTGCATTATTTCTCTGATATGAGAAACTGAGTGTGGAAATGAGGACTGAGATGTATAATGGGTGTTGGGAAATGGGAAGAAAGTGTTCAAATGGGAAGGGGAACAAGGGAGGAGGGAGGGAGAAAGGAAGGAACCAACAAGAAAAAAAGTGAAAATAGAAGGAAAAAAATGGAAACAAAGCTTTTGTACATAGGGAAGGGAGGAGGATTAAGGGTGGAATGGGATAAAATAAAATTTATTTAAAAAACCCCCCAAACACCTCTAGACAAAAAGCCTTGGAACCAACCCACTTTTAGAACCTTTCCTGTCTTTCAGGAGCTTTCTCTCAATAAAGTTTTCCAACTCTTACTCTCTTCCATCCTTGTATCCATTCTTCAGCTATCTAGAGACATGAACTTGGTATATCTGACATCTATCTGACTGGGAGTCACTTCCCTGTGACAATAACATTCCTTTATAACGCTGGTGGAGGTTCTAAAAATCTCTTCATAGGTGTTCTGGCAATACCTATCCAAATAAAGTTGAATAAACTAGTTTATATCCATATAATTAAAGATCATGTCTATTAAGAGATATCTGCATATTCGAAAAGAAATGATTATATATTATATATCATGGAAAGCAAATTATGTAAGGGGTGCTATAGTGTTTTTGGTAAAAGGTTTTAACTACCTACCTCTGCCAAGGTGCTAACTTATCCTATCCCAGGAAGCCGCACAAGAAAGTTAACAATTTTTTGGGAAAAGGGGAATTCGAAGACAAAGGACAGAGGGCAATGTTTTACTCTATTTCCTTTAGTACTTTGTACATTCATTACATATGTTAGTTTTTTTTTAAAAAAGCAAAAGATTTGTTTTAGAACATACTTATTTTTGTAGGGCTGAGGACTCAACTAGGACCTTTTGCATGCTAGGCAAGCACTTTACTACTGAGATACATTCCTAGTCCTAAAACTTTTAATTTTGAGATAATTGCACATTGACAAATTTTTGTTCTTAAATTCACAAATGAGGTCTCACCATAACACCCCCCCCTCCCGGCCATTCTTCTCCACTGGTTTCTACCAAGACATACCTGGTTTATGGGGATTGTGAAAAGTGGAGAAAATTCAAGAAATGTGTGTGTGTGTGTGTCGGGGGGGCGTTGGATATTTACTTTTCATTCTTTATTTTTTGCATTTACAGTCAAGCGCATGTACTATCACCCCCCCCAAACAAACAAACAAAAAAACCCTAACAAAAAACAAAACAAACAAAAAAACCCCCCAGATCCCCTCCTCAACTCCTGTCTACCACCTATCCATAACTCTTTCCACTCTACAAGCTAACACCTGGTCGTCCAGTATAAATCCAGAGCTGGGGCTCAAAGTGAACGGGCGAGAAACAATTCCAGATACAGTTATTTACTGATGGGTGAATTGAAACGTTGGTTCCCTTCCTCAGTTAAAAAGAGATACAACTATATCCACAAACGAGTAGGTAAAGGAGAAATAAGGACCCTAAAAATGTCAGAACCATTCAGAACGAAGCAAATTTAAACTGGAATTCTTACTATTTTAGAGGTCGGAGACCAGCGCGCGCTGCATGCCGGAATCTGTAGTCCCTTCCTGGGCGGGCCGCAGCGCACCTGCGCATGTGCACCGGCGCTCTTCCGAGCGCATGCGTGCGGCGGAGGCACCAGTACTTAACTGTAGCCGAGGGCCGCCCGTAGTCAGCTGGGATTTCGGCATGGCGGTGCCCGCGGCAGCTATGGGCCCCTCGGCGCTGGGCCAGAGCGGTCAGGCCTCGATGGCCCCCTGGTGCTCAGTGAGCAGCGGCCCGTCGCGGTACGTGCTTGGAATGCAGGAGCTGTTCCGGGGCCACAGTAAGACGCGTGAGTTCCCGGCGCACAGTGCCAAGGTGCACTCGGTGGCCTGGAGTTGCGACGGCCGTCGCTTAGCTTCGGGATCCTTTGACAAGACGGCCAGTGTCTTCTTGCTGGAGAAAGACCGGTTGGTGAGCTGCTGGGGCCTGGCCCTGGCCAGGGAGAGGGGTGTGATGCGAAGTGTGGTGTGGGAGAGGTGGGGGTTGGGGTGGGACAGGAATGTGGAGATGAGGGAGGTTTTGTGCTGTGAGGAAAGAGGAGTTGGGGGCGAGAGGAAAGGGAAGACTGGTGCTGAGAGGGAAGGTCGGGGTATGTAGGGAGTGTAGTGAGATGTGGGTGAGGAGGGTGCAGTGAGGAGAGGATGAAGATTGGTGAAGAGGATAGATGTGACAGAGGAGGAGGTGGTGGTGGTGGTGAGGAGTTCCGTGGTGATGAGTGGCCAGGAGCTTTCGGGTTGGTGGAGACCCTGTGGTAGTGATAGGATGACCTTTGGGAATGGGCAGGTGGCTTGGTATAATGATAGAGTAAGGATAGAAAACCAGAAAGGAGGCCAGGAAGGGCAAGAAGGAGCACTCTTGTGGAACCTCAGAACAGTTTAGAGTAATTAAGGAGGAGGGAAAGGAAGATATTGAAGAAGGTTTTGGGTTTTCTCTTGGAAGAACTGGATTCTTTTGAATTATCTAGCTCTTTGTTAGACCCAAGATACCTTGGTTTGTATAAGGATAAGTTGCATGTGGAGGCAAATACATCAATTGTCTGGATTCTCTTCTCTCAGGTCAAAGAAAACAACTATCGTGGACATGGGGATAGTGTGGATCAGCTTTGTTGGCATCCAAGTAATCCTGATCTCTTTGTCACTGCTTCTGGAGATAAAACCATTCGCATCTGGGATGTGAGGACTACAAAATGTATTGCCACTGTGAATACTAAAGGTAACTATTCAGAGAAGACATTAGGAAGATAAGCTACTTGTATTCAACAGCCTTTCATGAGTATGTTCTTTGTGTGTGACACTCAACCTTTCACTGAATATGTTTTTTGGGACATGTTTGCTAGCTGAATAAGACAGTCTCCACCTCTAACAACCTTATGGTTTAATGTGGCCAGAGACAGAGGCATAAAAATAACAATGTGATGTTTACAAGTGGGTACCCAGAATGGAAATGTATATGTCCACATGGAGGAGGCAAAGAAGGCTTCATAAAATTTGAGCACTCTTTTTTTTTCCAATACTGGGAATCGAACTCAGGACCTTGCACTTGCAAGGCAGGCACAGCACCACTAAGCTACATACCCGGCCCTATGAGCACTCTTCTTGAGTAGCCATAATAATTTAGTGGTCAGGGTGTAGTGAGTGAGGAGAATTTGGGAAGTTCTGATAGATTAACATGACTAGAGCTTGAATGGTCTTGGTGATCTGGAAGGAAATGACCAGAAAGTGCATAGTACATGTATAGACTCTGTTCATATCAGGTATTATCCTGTAAATCTTGTGACCATTTCTCGTAATTGATTCATTTGTCATTGAATGTTAGATGCACTAATTATTTCATGTACCAAGATGCGAGATAATTACATGAAATTTTGTTATAACCAGATAAAAATTTAAGATGTACCATAGATAAAATGTAAAAAGAAATACATTTTTGGGTCAGCAAAATTGAAATTTTAAATTTGTAGGTTCAGTTTGGACATGCAGACTTTGTTGATAAGTCTCATACCTGGAGGTGGAATGGTGTAGTGATTTCCCCAAGTATACAACTGGTGATGCATGAGTGATTTTAGGTGGTACATAGATGAACATAAAAGCCCATTAAATATGTATTTTAATTCCTACTAGAGGAAAAAAACTAGCTCATAGAATTTCTCATTGAAACTAAATTTAAGTAAATTTTGGAGTCAATTTTAAGAAGAATTTTGAATAAAGCAAAGTATAACTTTCTATTACACAGAACAAAAATTGGGAAGGTGGCATGTGAATGGAGTTTAAGAAATACTGGTGGAGAGAATAAAGGGCTTTTGGCTCAAGTCTGGGTACAAATCTTGGCTGTGTAACTTCATAGCTTTGACAGCTTGACACACTTTCTTCTCATTCATTTCTTCATCTGTGGATATAAAGTAGACTTTAGAGAAGTGTTGTAAGGACCAAATGGGAAATTTTTACATAAATGTGCTAGACTCAGTTTGTACTTCATGAGTGTAGTTCTCTTCCATTGACTAGAGCCTTAATGGAGGTTTGAAGTTAGCTCTGGTCTTTTAGGATAGCAGAATAAACTTCTGGAGGATTACGGACAAACAGGTGATCTTGCTGATTATATCTGGGTTTCCAGGGGAGAACATTAATATCTGCTGGAGTCCTGATGGGCAGACCATTGCTGTAGGCAATAAGGATGATGTGGTGACTTTTATTGATGCCAAGACACATCGTTCCAAAGCAGAGGAACAATTCAAGTTTGAGGTCAATGAAATCTCCTGGAACAATGACAACAATATGTTCTTCCTGACAAATGGCAATGGTTGTATCAACATTCTCAGGTGAGAGGGTTCGAGCTTGGGAGACTGTAATGTCTTTGTTCTGGGTACCACAGCAGATGGAGAGATGAGTTAGATAGACTGTGCAGCAGGACTAATAAGGTAAGTGGTAGAAAAAAAAGTAACTTCTATTTGAACCAGTTACTTTATTATTTTATTGTGTTCTCAGAAATTCCAGGGAGTATTGTATGCTTCCTATTTGACTGATGAAGATCTGGATTCAGAGAGGTTAAGTCACTGGTCAGCTAGTGGGTACTAGGACCACATGCACTTTGAATTGTGGCTAATTTGTAGCCTTAAAGTTTGAATGTAAATACCACTTTTCCACTAGTGAAGCAATCTCCATCATTCCTGATCCCCAAGGTTAGAGACTTATTTTATGTACTCCTGTAGGGAGCATTTCTCATTTTATATTGTAATTGCATGTTTACTTACCTATCTCCCCCATTATACTGTAAATTCCTTGATAGTAGAGGTTATGTTGCCATGTTTACTACTGAATCATTAATGCCTAGCTTATCATCTATTATAGTAGGATCTTAGTAAATATTTGTTTTCTTTTTTTGCTTAAATTCTTTTATTGGTACATTTTAGGTATACAGTATGTTTACATTTATCATTGGGTACTTGTACCTGTACATGATATATCTTGGTTCTTATTTTTTCTCCATTCCCTGTCCTCCCTTCACCCCCTCCACCCTGCCCTATTTACAAATACTTTGTTTCCGTTTTTTTTTCTTTTCTCATAATTTTTCCTTTCCCTTCTTTCCTTTCCCCTTCCCCTCCCACCACCCTTACCCCTTTGGACCTTTTCTAACTATTTCAGATTATCAATTATTCATTTTAATCCTTTTAGTTCTTATTTACACTCTCAGTTTCTCACACTAGAGAAATCATTCGGTATTTACATGTGTGTCTTATTTATTTCACTTGAGAGTATGGCCTCAATATGCATCCATTTA